GCGGCTCCTTTCTGGTAAGAACAGCTTGCCCATCAGGTTCAGGGGTTTTTCTTCGTCAACCTCTTTCTTGAATTTGGAGTAGAGTTGTTGAGTATTGCCCTTCATATGACTGAAGGGCAGATACATAGTAGTCGCCTATGGAGGAAGAAGGGTCATCAATAGCAAAGGCTCTTCTTTATGCTGTTCTTTATGTTTTTATTATATCCCGAACAAAGTTAGCTTTGGAGTACGCACGGGAAGTAGAGCCTATTTTACTACAGCCATAACATTTGCGATGATCTTGTTCGCAGTCCCTGGGTATAATTCCACGTTTTCCACATACATAACACGTTTCATATACTTTTTGCAATCTCGGGCAATTTACTTTTTGCGTTCTCGGGCAAAGTGACCAGTTTTTCCACAATTATAACATTCACTGGAATTCATGATCTTTCTTACTACTTTTTTCTTTGGTGGAGATATATCTCCACCAAAGAAAAAAGAACCAAAGAAATAATTAAACTTAAATTAAAAGAAATGCAAAGAGATAAACATAAATATAATAAATTATCCAATTTATCTTAAATAGTTAAAAAAGGTATCAGATCTTGTCTTATTTGAGGCTCCGACTAGAATTAAAATTCCACTCCAAAGCAAAGCAGCAGCTCAGACGATTTCCGTCTGAATTTAAAGCCTGATTATATGATTAATGTACCGTTCAAGGGATGAGAGATACAAAAACCAATGAAAAAATATAAAACAATTAAAGCGTCACTAGGGAGAACAGCGAGAATTCTGGAAACAATATGAGGATATAAGGTATTTCTCCCGCTTTCCTAGTGTGCCTTCGTGGTGTAGTGGCTGGTCCGGTATTCCAGAGGTCCGTGGTTCGATTCCCGGGGAAGGCGGTTGCTAATTTTTCATCTCACAGGTTTCCAAAAAACCCTAATGTCTCTACAGTGGCGCCCGAACTCAAAGGGTGCTGGATGAGGATTCTCCACACCCAGAATTTGGCGATTTGGATCCCCTAAAAACCCAAGTCGCCCTTTAAAAAGGGGAGTATATAAGGTATTTCTCCCGCTGTTTTAGCATGCCTTCGTGGTGTAGGGGTCAGCTCACTGGGCCGGTATTCCAGAGGTCCGTGGTTCGATTCCCGGCGAAGGCGGTTGTTAATTTTTCATCTCTCCAAAAAATCCTAATGTCTCTACAAGGATATGAAAGGAAATTTTATCGGAAAGGTGTAGTTTTGAAAATAAAGAGGGAAGTAAGAGTCCATGACTCTCTGATCGCTATGCCCTGTCGATATAATTCTTGCGGTCTTTCCCTGAATACGATTCGATAACAACGTGAGAATAAACGCAGGACTACTCTGTACAAGTGACAGTAGTAGTCCTCGCGTTTGGTTACATTGTTCAAAGAGTCTACAGGAACTCTGCAATAGGAGTTATTAGAGTGGCACGTGCACGACCAGAGTGATCACTTTTAGAACATTCAAGAAAGAGAAATTTACCCGCTCTCATAAATTCATTGCACATTCTGGAGAACAAGCCTTTGACATGTGGGAGGAGGCTTTACTTTCCTTAAAAGTCTCAACTTCTGTCCAAGGTTTGAACCCGAGGGAAAGAGAGTCCAGCATTCAGAAGTTAGAATCGATTTTAAAGCATATATTTATACAGTTTGACTACTCAAATTGTGGTTCAACTACATGAAAAAGGACCGAAGACCTTTTATTAAGGGCTTCGATGCCCTCCAGCTAAAATTATGAATTATCTCAAAAACTGAGAAGTACGCGACCTGGATTCCGACGCAATTTAAGCTCTGGAAAGCGAAGTATTACAGTTTGAACAATTAGTCAATTCGACCTCAGAACACCATTATTTTGAAAGATGTGCTATGGACCTTTCAACAGCATTCAGTAAAAGTTTCTTTTCAAAAAGGAAGAATATTCTGTTGCAAAGTACTGTTCTTCAATATAATTCAAAGGTCTTTCAAATTATTACCAATCTGAAGATAAATTTTAATTCATTTAAAAGTTTCAAATTAATATGCTTCTCCTTATATTAAATTACACATATATCCTTTACATTAAATAGCAGAAAGGTACCTGAAAATTACATTTGTCCTATAAAATAGCTGAAAAAAAAAATCAGTCGCCTTAATTTGTATATCTTAGTGTCAGTTCATAAGGTGTGTTCTAGAGCTTTCTTTTCTGTTCAAAAATCTTAACTGAAATAGGCTGCTACTGCTTTATTCGTATACGAAAATAACGTTTCCGCTCTCGAAAATGAATAATGCGTACGTTTACGTAATGCAGCATTTTAAATAGAATGAGAGTAAAAATATTTAATTGTCTACCGGAATGCGTATTTGAACTACGAAATTTAGTTCTATCACATTCAAATTGCCCTTTATAATATTATAGGTTTTTTTAGTATAAATTTAGAGCAGACTATGATTGCATTATAACACATGCGTATATCTAATGTTAATAACGGAAATAATATACTGTATTTCGAAGAAATAGACGAGAAGGAAAAGAACAGCGAACGAGATTGGTCGCAGTTGTTATTATGTATTTGCACGAGGCACGAAGGGAATAATTATTAAAAAGGAAACATTCCCGAAAAAATGTAGCCGAGGAAGTGAATACTCCACACTTCATATCGCTAACAAGATTTCTTAAAGAAAAATAAAAGAACAGAAATGTAGCATTTATATTTTTAATACATCAGATTGCGGCCCGATGCTTCAAATAAAAGTTTACCACTTATAAAATAATACTAATAAAATTTAAGCTTTTAGTTCCTTCTTATTTTAAATAACAATTCAATCTTTTCTTGCCAATTCAAAAAATTAAATACTTTCTGTTTTCTCATAACATCAAATAAAATTAAAACTCAAATCATGTGGAATTTGAATTTTATGAGATCCAGCGATTGTTTCTGTACTTCTTTATGGAAAATGTGTTATAAGCAGAAAAATATCAAACTATTAAAAAAGTATGCTAAAATTTAGCTAAAATTAGCAAAAAAAAGGAACAGGTTCTTCAGTATCCATATTATTATAAAGTACTGATAATCTTGAGGCTTTTTGGGAGCTGCAAGATGATAGCGTACATAAAAAATAAAGGTAAGAATTTTGCAACTGACCCTTATCATACGATGTTAGAAACCTATTTTATTTATGACACTCATGGTACGAAGAAACATTTATTGAAAAATGTTGCTAAGAATTCCAGATAAAATGGCTTTTTGAATTTTGCTGTACTGAGCAACGATTTTTTAATAATACCGAAGATAAATAAAATATCTTATGCATTGCAGAGTAGTAACAACATGCTCTCGAATGTTTTTTGACAGAAAATGGACGGGATTTATCGCTAGATGAAAATAATAACATATCTTCCAGGTGTTTAAAATAGATAACAGTGCAGAAAAATCTTTTCATTCTAAAATGAATTTATGTATTATTAACATTACCGTGAATGTTCCTGTTACTCTTCTTTAAAAAAACATACCCCTGGCCAGGGCTGAGTACATTACTGAGATTAAAATGATTAAATAATTCAAATATCAAACCACGAAAAACTTCAGTTGCCATCGATTTCAGGACAAAGGCAAGTTTATAGCAACTTTAGTAAATGCGATGAAGAAAAGAAATCAATATTTTTGTTTAAATTTAAAATATGTGAGAAAATGATTACCTATTCTGATATTAATAAAAAAAAGTTAGTTCTCTCTATTGTCTTATAATTTTCATGAAAATCATCGCAAAAGTGTTTATTTTTTAAGATAATTCCTATACGTTGAAAAACAAATTTTTTCTTAGAGGTTCTCTTACATTGTCTTTTCCTTTTACTATGGCAAAGCACACTAAAGATGAATGTCTTCGTGAAGGCCCTGTCTAAGGGAAACTGAATCATATCCTCATTACACAGGGGAAAACCTCGAAAACGTCTCTACATCCAGCCTGTTTCCCGGGACTCAAACGCGGATCGAACTACCAGGGTTCAGCGAATTTACGGCTCTGCCATTAATTCACCTTTATATTCAAAGGACTAGATTTCTTTTGGCAAGTAATTCCACTTATGTATTATATTTCACGTAATTTAAATACTAGATATTCTTATTATTCTAATACATTCATAAAGCTAATGTAATTAGCGAATTTCATTAAACGTTTATTTTTTATGATTTTTATTATCTCTTTCCCCTACTACATTTTTATATCTCTCTTTTCATGAAAAGTGCTGTCCAAAGCAGTTCTTATGTTAGGAAAAAAAATAAGAAACATTGTTTCTACCGAAGCAGTTAAAAGAATAAATGAAATGTAGAAAATGATAAACTTGGGTATAAAATGCTTTTTGCGTATAAAATGCGAACATGGGCATATTTTGATGAATATAAAAAAAGAGTAAAGGAAATCTGCAAAAGATCACTACTAAAAGTAATTTAATTAATTTGTAAAGAAAGTATAGATATATATATTAAATGGTAACACGAACAGAAATTGCGCAAGAATATCTGCGTGTGAATATGAAGCTATTATCAGACAAAAAATATGTAGATAAAAGTTACTTGTTATATACAAAATGCAATTATTATATACAAAATGCAATTATAGCTACATACAAAATGCTAAACATTATTCTCATGAGATAATTTTGAAAGTCACTGCTTTTGCATTTTTCTTCAACATATAATTAATATTTTCTGAGTGTTAAAATATAGGTATTTCAAGCTTAAAAACATTAATAAAATACCTCTGATTTATGTTTTCAATTTCCTGTTTTACAATCATTGACCAGAGACCATATATTTTTAAAATAATATTATGACAGTAAGATACAAATTAGTCATCAATATACAGATATTTTCATCGAAAGTTTGCATCTATATGAAGTAACGAAGGATTTTTCTTTAGTATCACAAGCTTTTATTATTTCACTTTTTAATATTTTCTTTTCTACATTTCTCATGAACATAGATACAATGAACTAGATAGAAATAAAGGAAAACAGACCAAGTATTTCTGAGTTTTATTTACAAATATTTATACAATGATTACATCCATCTCAAAAGAAATTGGCACAAACTTTCATTTACATACAAATATTTCTTTAAATTCGGAAGGTTCTCTTTGAGAAAATATACACTTTGGCACACTAAAGTTCTCGAAATGCACAAAAGATCTCTTATATTTAAAAAAGCACTTTTGTTTAAAATAAGAGTATTTTTCCCCAAGCAATCATGAATTAAGAATTTCATACTCGTAACTTCTACTTACAAGCAACATAAATTCTAGACGGTTTTATTTCATGTATTATAGTTATCTGGATACTTTTAAATCTTCACGGTAATATGATGAACATGAAACGTGAAAGATGAAATGTGTAAAAATGTTTATATATGTTTTTATTGAAGTTAGAATCTTATCAGTTTTCTCACAATTGATATTAAAGCATAGTGAGATATATCCATAATTTTGTTTCGAAGAGATAAATTATTCATTCCCTTGATCTATCTTTCGAAGATTATTATTTCCTTATTAATGATAAAGCTTATTATTATAAAAATAGATTATTTTAAATCACTTAGTCTAAAAATTTTCAACCTGAAATTTTATAGCTAAAAGGCCCTATAGGGACCTTTCTATAAACGATACGAAAAAGTGTATCTGAGAGTATAAATGTATAAACAGTTTTCTAGGAAAAGGGAAATTGCATCAATTGAAACAAATCAAAAGGAAGGTTATGAATAAGTGATGAATCACCTGACGTAGCAGTATCAATTAAAGTAAATGTAGGTAGCATTTTCCCAAATGAATATATGACACACATATGGATTCAGAAAGAATTTCCATACAAGTCTTATTCCGCTCTAAGTGAAATATAAAACTTAAGTTACAATCAATCAGTATATGCTATACAAGAATAAAATACAAACAATAGTTCGCGAATCTCATTTAAATTTACTTTAAAACAACCTAAATTAATTAAATATGCTGATGACATTGATACACTTTTTTTTTTTTTTTTTTTCTTTGCTACGACCAATTAAGAATTTCGAATCATCCAGCCGGATAGAAACATCAAGCATGGTTCTTTGTTGTATAATTGTATTTTAGCTTTGGTTTATCAGGAGATGAACGGATAGAACTACTGAATAGTGGTAGTTCGTGCCAGGTTCTGTTTCTAACAGAAGAGTTGAATGAATAGAGTTTTTATGTGTTTTTCAATGTATAATGTAATTTCATGCTTTTCTCAATGTATAATATAACGAGTCAGTTTCTTTCAGGAAGTCCTCTATGAAGCTATTTCTACTAAAGAAGCTATCCTTCAGCTGCTTTGCCAGAATTAGTTAACCAATCAACCATCATTTCGGTTTCGAATGATGTCATGCTTATTCATTGGCAATATACTCATTGGAGTTACTGAATTATGATTTAAAATTGCAACCACAAAGATATATCCAAACGGATCTTCTCAAAAAGGATCTGAATGCCTGCTATTAAGCTAAATGACAACATGAAAGTAACAAGAAAAAAAATCTTATCTTTAGTATAGCTTCCTATTTCAAAGTCACTATTATTACGTCTAATATCATGTTACTGGAATTTTATGAGCCAGGTCATAACATTCTGAATGTTTGCGTAGAAATAACGATCATATTTTTTATGTAAAAAGAGCTATGAATTAATTTTAAAATTCAGTTGTTAGGTTTTTTAGCGCTTTAGTTACCAGTGTTCTACAAAATAAGTTTTCACATTGAATTTTTTTTACTTAACTTTACGAATGGTCTTTTTTAAAAAATCCTCATAATGCGCATTTACAGAATGTTTATGCAGTCTTGTTAAAACGCATAATAACACTTAAAAACGTTAAATAATCTGCAAGATGAGATTACTTCTGTTGATATACAGTTGAGAATTTTCATTCGACTTGAAATTCACTCAAGCATCGTACTGATTAGAGTTACCAATTCATTTAAGCACTGGATCACTCAACTTGATTTTGCAGTTTCGGTTACATTTGTATAGGGTAACGGAATTTTCTGACTGAAGATTAGGCGTTTGCAAAATTCGAGCTTTTCTGCCGATATTAATTAGTGACATTAGAACATATTTCATTTTTTGATTAAAAAAAAAAAAAAAGTAGAATTTTCTAGAGATCAACTAAATACATCTGGATATTCAGTTGCTATTGCAGCTGTTTCTCTATTAACACATTTCTTTAGAATTTCAATAAAACTTAAAATTAATGTTTTAATCCGTTATAAAAAGAAAAAAAAGAGCTTAAAATCAGCTTTCTAAAAAACTGCAAACCAGCAGCTCAGTGTTCTAGAACTCATACGTTTGATAGCAAAAAGCTCATGCCCGTATTAATTACTTTTCATAAGCGTGTATGATAGGCAAAATGCAAGTGAATTTTGGCTCCTTTTCAAGTTTAGTAACGATTTTATGGAATATAATGAAGAGTTAAAAATTTTGTAGTATTGCTGTACTAATGTAAATAATGTTTCAGTGAAGAGTTAATAAATAGTTATGGGTATTTATGCAGCTGAAAATGCATTATAAAAGGAAATGAATTCTTGAATTCATTCTCTCTCTCTTTTTTTTTTTTTTTTTTTTTTTTTTTTTTTTTTTTTTTTTTTTTTGTTGAAAATAACAAAGTTAGCATCAGTTATTTTAAGAACGAAGTTTATGTTCAGTAAAATTAGCTTACAATTGCAACATTAAAGACTTATTAGTATAAAATATATTTATTTCCCCATTATGCAAATTTCCGTCTTCTAACTGCTTCAAACAGCTCACGAAATTTCTATTCGTTTGCGGCATTAGAGAAATAGTGATGTTGCTATAGGTATTTTGATTGCTTTTGTCATATTAGGTCAACAAACAGTACAAAAAATATTTAATGCTTTTTTTTGAAATTATCAAGCTATCTTTTTGTAACCACACTGAAGTAACAAAATGCTTGATTTTCTAAGCACGTATTTAAACTTTGGATAAAATAATTCATACTCTATGAGAAAGCAATGCACAATTAACACCGAATATTTACTGGAATAGCGAAATAAGGAAATTCAAAGCAGATCCATCAGACGTGACTCACAGTGTAATTTAAATAATCATTTATTCCTACTTGTGAAAGAAAGTACCACCATGCATACATAAAACAGTAACGTTTCTCCTTTTTATAAGTATGTATAGAATAATTTCATCTTCTGGAAAGGAAATCATTACAATACACTTTCACACTTCGTACATTATAAGCAACAGGAAAGATAATGGTTTATAAATGAATGATAAATAAAATGACCAAATTAGGAACGGGTGTTTTATGCATATGACGCAAAAGACACGTATTAATGACTTGTTATTTATGCTTCACCATAAAAATGTCCACATTTAAAAAATACAAAAAGTTTTTATACACATAGATCCTTAATTTAAATACGAAAATACACTTACGGACGTCATATTTTCCACAAATCATTGCACTGCACACATTTGACACTGAGCAAAGGGGTAATTTATACGGTCAAAATGTGAAGATAAATATTTGGTTTTGATATTCAGAAGATATTACTGTACTTATTCTTATTTCATGTAACTTCTGTATTATACACTTCATAAGTATTCCATATGCTTTTAAGTTTTCTTCATGCCAAGTCTTATCTACTTCACGACTTTGAAAAATGATATACAGTACAGCTTGGCATCAAAATGGGAAAAATTAGTTTTGCAACTGAAAGTTCTTTGCATCTTCCTGGGGAATGCCGAGCTTTAGAACCAAGAAAGAAAAAGAATGCTCCGTCTGGAAATCCCAAGCAATGATTCTTGTTGGTCCGCTTAAAGGATATCAAGCTTTGCCATCAGATAGCTGTTGACAACTCACTGTCTCGTCTACTGTGGTACATTACACAACGCTCGGTTTCACCACCAGTGGAAGTAGTTAATGTTGAAGAAGGGAGAATCGAACCACTGCTCACAGATCTGCTTTCGGTCGTCGTGAGGCTCTGTGTAAGAGGTGAGGAAGTTGGACCTGGAATTTTCTGACCTGCATGAAGTCAAATATAGCAAATTAATCAATGTGAAAGCTTTGGAAAGTCTACATCTTGTAATATCTTTGCGCGAAGAAAAACGAATTGACTAATCAACTGTTAACAAGTAAATATGTTTATAATTTAGCTCTAAAATATATTCTACATCTTTATTAAGAATAATACTATAAACACTAAAGCACACGTTGGCAATATTAGGTTTAAGGTCTCAGTTGAGCAGAATAATAAGTTTTATTAAGTTTTGACATCAGAGTATCAGTGGTGACAAGATGATTTTTCGAGAATACAAAAGTTTTAAACTAAATGAAATCGCCAGTCAATTTTCTCATGTTTTTGGCTCTTCAAAGATTTCTTAATTGATTTTTTTAAATCTATATAAGAAACATAAATGACTCAAATATGTATATATTCACTTGTAGGGATTTATATTTAATTTAACTAACAAGTTAAAGTTTAACCTTTCCTATAAGCCTTCATTCCCCTAATTGTCAGTGCCAGAATATTTAAATTTTGTAGCGCGCGTGAAGGAATGAAAATTTCTACTTGAAAGAAAGTATTTAAAAGCCGAGTTTCGGTAGAAGAAAAGAGAGGTAGGCTAAGCCACCTTCTCTGCGGTAGATACGTTTGCTTATTGCTGGTTCACGTGGCTTAATTGCATTTACTTGCTGCCACTAGTTTCGAAGGGGGTTTAAGTAACAGGATCTCGCTGAGCCTTGTAGGTTAGTTCTATCACTTGTTAATATCTTCAAATTTTAGTTTCGTTATTTGATTTTCAGTTACCACCCAAGCAGAGGCGATGTTTGTTAACGTCGAGTTGACGCATTGTAAATTTTAAAGATTTAATTAAGGGTACTTTAACCCTTCTCTTGTGTAGTTCCTGCTACTCCAGTTTTCATACGAAAGTGAACCTGTTGAACTCTACGTTGGCGTCCGAATTAGTACGTGAATCCGATAGACAACGAACAAGTATCTCCACAAGGTTCAGAAGTTGTAGACCCAATGGTGACCAGTCCCCTAGATGGATTTGGCTTTCTAATGCAGACAATGAGAGTAGCAATTAAACCTGAGGTGGTATTTGACGGCAAGAACTCCGTCACCTCATTTCTGGAAGCCCTTGAGACTCATTTCCAATTGTATCCGGTAACCCGAAAGACAAAAGTAGGTATCGTCTCGAGTGCTTTCCGAGGACAGGCGGAGTCTTGGTGGAAAGGAATTGGGAAATTTCTGCTTGGAGAAGTTGGAAGCATAACTTATACATTCGAAAATTTCAAAGCAGCACTTCTAAAAGCGTTTCCGATAGTTAAAGATCGTGCGAAGCTTGAAGCTAAACTATACAGCTTTTATCAACGGAGGGTTACCGAGTTTATCCTCCGAAAAGTAAAGCTAGTGAATGTGCTGTACGGTAGAAAACCCGACAGCGAAGTCATTGAAATTATATTGCCCGCTGTGCAAAACTTGCACAGCTCCGAAATCTTCGAACGCTGGAATAATTATTCGAATTAGCCGTAAAGTTTCAGAATAGGCGGACAGCAGAAGAATCAAGATTTCCCGTCCAGAGATTTAATCAGTAGTTCTTCCGACAGCCGGCCAAGGAAAGAAATAAATACAACAAAGGAAAACGTTTTTCAGCTAAGCCGTCAACAAGCAACAATGATAATGATGACGCCAAAACCCACCAGCGTACCCAGAAAACAGCAGGAAGAAAAACGGCTTCAAACGAATAGATGGCCTGAGAATTTGAGAGTCCAGACCTCTTGTTCATCGAAAAATCCCTCTAAAATGTATGTAAATACTGTGGTAGTGAAAAATTCTCAATTACCTGTAATGCAGGTTCTTTTGAACAATGTACCCGCAAAAGCACTCGTGGACACCGGAGCTGAAGGAAACTTTCTAAATCTAAATTTTTATTACAGAAATTTTAGAAAAGTAAGATTATTCAAAAATAATACGACGGAAATCATAGGCGCCCAAGGCAAAGTTTGTGAATGCATCGGGAAACTGTCACTTAACGTGCAGGTTAAAGAAGAAAATCTAAAAATACTATTTTTCGTGGTGATAAATTTACAAAATAAAGTCATTCTGGGAACTCAATTCCTTAGGGCAGCAAACTCAAGAACCGATTTTTCAAGTAACTCAATTACTTTGGATATGGAGCCAAAGGTGGTGGAAGCTGCAGAAAATGTTCCAGAAATTGACCTCCAGCATCTAAAGCAAGATGAAAGAGCCAAACTGCAAGAAATTGTAAGTAAATTTACTTCATTATTTTCTGATAAGCCAGGGAATACACAGATAGTAACTCATTCTATCAAACTAAAATCAACTGAATTTTGTAAAGCGAAACTTATAGATATGACAAGGAGAAAGAGGCAATAATTGAGTACCATATACAGGAGATGTCAAAGAATAAAATTATAACTCCCATAAATAATGAATATGCGAGCCCTGTTCTCAGGCCCAGAAGGAGGAATAATTTGTCCCCCCCCCACGGATCCAAAAGCTTATCGTTTTGCTATTGATTATAGAAAACTCAGCAGTTTAACTAAATTTCCGGTTTAACCTTTACCGGTAACTGAGGAGATAATTAGGAAAATCAGGTCTACGAAATTTATGACCATTTTCGATCTTACCTCAGGCTATTTCCAAATAGCCATGAAACCAGAAGACGTAAACAAAACTGCCTTCATCACAAAGTCAGGCACTTAATGCGTTTTTACGTATGCCTTTTGGACTTTGCGGGGCCCCCCCTCAACTTTTCAACGTGCCACGGATATTATTTTACGTTCTGTCTTCGGGAACTTCACTTTAATTTATTTAGATGATATCATTATAACAAGCGATACCATTGACGAACATATAAAAGGCCTCCACGAAGTTTTTTCATTATTGAAGGAAGCGGGGTTAATCGTAAATGCATCAAAATGTAAATTCGCAAGGAAAGAATTACAATATTTAGGATACATACTTTCTGCTATGGGTATCGAAACGGAGGGCTCTAAAATTAAAGTTATTAAAAATTATCCTCCACCAAATATGGCAAAGAAGCTGTCATCTTTTCTTGGCTTGTGCTTTTACTATCGTTCTTTTATTCGAAACTTCGCTAATATTATTGAACCTTTGCTAGTGCTAAAACGGAAGAAATCAAAGTTTGCATGGACAGCTGAGGCAAACACAGCCTTTGAAGAATTGAAAACAGCTTTAATTAATGCACCGGTGTTACAGTTTCCGGAGGGAGATGATAACTTGGAGATTGCGGCTGACGCCTCAGATTATGGGCGCGGTGTTAATGGAAAATTGGCATCCCCTGGCATTTTTTAGTAAAACTTTAAACACCACACAACAAACATTAGCCGTGTTAATGGCAGTTCAGAAGTTCTGAGTATTTTTCGGAAAAGCACACGTTCACTGTATATTTTGTTTCTGAGTTCAGACCATGCAGCCGTAGGTAGACTGACTATATTCGGGAAGGAATTTAACTAATTAGATTTAACTAATAGACTAATTAGATGGGCGTTAAAGTTACAAAAGTACAACTTAATAACTAAGCATACCCCAGGCAAGGATACTACTGTGGCCGACGCGCTATCAAGAATCAAGATAGATGAAATGATGATCAAATAAAACGTGCTATTTTGACGTCTAAAGTTTTAGATTCCCGAGAAACTATCATTTCTGAGTTGATAAAGGATCCAGAATTCGGTAAGATCTATGCTTATTTAAAGGATCCAGATAATTTTGAACATGCAGACCTTGCCGCAATTAGAAGTAGAATCCAAAATTACGAGATTGTAGATAATTTGCTGTTTTATACTAAATCGACGAATAAAACCTTTGAATATAGGCCAGTCATCCCAGCCACACTACGGCTAAGCATTTTGCAGGAACTGCACGACGCACCGACCGCTGTCCATTTAGGGGTAAGGAAAACGGTTAAATTTAATGAGATAGTTTTATTTGAAAGCACAATATTATCGCCATTAGCATAGTATTTTATTCTTTTATTTTAAAAACAGTTACAATACATCCCATTATAGCCATATAATACAATTCATATTAAATTAAGAGTTTTTGGTACTTATGCTTTTCTTTATTTTTTGCTTGATTCATTCTGTCCATTGAACATTTGTAGCCACCGACAGATGGTAGAAATTGACCGTTAAAAGAATGATGGGTAATCGAGTCTGAATTTGAAGAGTATCTTTCAGAACCTCAGGGGTTAAGAAAACGTAAAAACTGCAAATTTCCTGCTTTTAACAGAAAATAAACAGGAGTGGTGTCTTTTTTCTTCAAATTTTGCTATTAATTTCTTCAAATTTTGCTATTAATTTCACATGCAGTACCATGCAAAAATTTCAGAACTATATCATACATACCCGGTAATTCGTTACCTAGCGTACAAATCTATGGAAGGGATAGGTTACAATGCAGGGCTGGAAACACAATCCTATAGCGACAGAGGAAATTGTTGGGGCAGTGTTAAAACGTCCGCGCAAGAAAACTGACATTCGACAACCGCCTGCTTTAGTACAGGCAGAAGTAGGTGGGATAAAACAGAATTCACATTGGTCCTATAGAAATAATCTCAATACATTAACGGTGCAGCTTAGCCCACCTTTGATGGAAAACACACTCATCACCTGCAATCAAAGCAGCCGTGGGGGCTTTTGGCTCGATAGTACTTTGAGTGCTCTCCAATGCCTCACAGGCATTATACATTTACAAACATCCATGCATTCTCAAGGATATGAACTGAGACCAAACGATGGGGCAACCACCATAGCTAACCATCATACTGATCGGGCCCGCATAGATTTTCAGAAATATGGAAATATGCATCTAGGATATGGAGTTACTGATTATGACGGGAGCGTTACCCGAAGAGGCGTGTTTCCGATCACTAGATGTTAACATTGCTGCATCAAAGTTCATGCGGAACGGTAAAATGAATTCCTCAAGAAGCGTACAATGAATTAGAGAGAAAGGCACGAAACCCTGAAAT